ATATAGGCTCTGTCAGGACTGACAGAGTGAGATGGGCTGTCTTGACAGTACAGGAAGGAGTTATTTCCTTTGTGTTTTGAGATTTCACAGGTTGTGGTGGTCTAGAGTGAAAAGTGCCCTAAACAATCTAAACAGGTTGTGGCTTTTTCACTATTTTATTCCTGGTGAGGTTTCCCAGGTGCTTAAACTGTGCGCTTAAGGGTCTGGTCTTGTCCTAATGCCCACACAGCCAGAGCTTGAGTTTTCCATTTATTACTTCACCAGAACTGGAACCAGTCAGGTGTATTCTTGTGTAAGTTTAGATCTGGTGTAGTTTTAGAGCTAGTGCCTGGTTTTGACCCGGTGCTGATAATGTCAGAATTCTCAAATATCTCCCTGACGAGACTCTGAATGGAGGTTATGCTTGGAAGTGTGGAGCCACTCACGTTGATGCCCAGTAAACCTGCCGGTGTGAAAAGATCTCACGGATATGCATGCAAAACCACGGGGTTAATCAGGCTTTAGCCCCTCAATTAAGAGGGATAGATCGACGGGACCTTTCTGTGCCCCTGCGAGTGCTGTCAGGGGGGTGGATGTGGGGGTCAATTATAGGGAGCAGAGGAGTCAAATTAATGAGAAGTGTAAGCGGTGAGGGGGGTCACAGGGGGCGGCCAGCTGGTGAGGGCCTGGTGGGGGAAGTTTATCATTGAACCAGTTTGGGGGGAGGGGGGTCTGTACCAGGACCTGGGCTCTTCAGAGTGGAGGAGACACTTCTTGGTCACCATCACAGAAACTTACAAAATGCAGCATTTACCTACAAATATATATTAATTCATTCTCCTAGAGGCACAAACCATCATTATTGTTGTAGCACGTTTTGCTTATATCATGGATATTGATGTATAGTGTGTATATGAAATATTTATTTACCCTATGCGGATATGGTATTAAACATTTTGGAAAAAGGGAAGCCCCTCCCCACCCAAAAAAGGAAGGCTATAATTTCTGCCTATCCTGGGGGGCTCCCTGCGTGCAGCCGGGGTGCAGATGCCCCGGCTATCAGTCATCATTACGAGTGACACCTTGCCGAAGTCCAGCGGCTGCCCAACAACGAGGGCTCGACCCGACGCGATGGGGTGTTTATCCACACACTGGGCACAGCTGACCTTCCACTGACCTTGTCCGGCTCTGACGCCCTGACGGGCCTCTGGGGGGGTGTGGGAGCTTGACGTCAGGCCGGAAGCGCTGTTTCCGTCTGCTGGAGAAACGGCATTTCTCCAGAACCAAATGCCAGGACAGCAGGATGGAATCCCAGGACCCAGCTAACGTGGTTAAAGAGCTAACTGGTTAACCGCTTGGTGAAAGGCACGGGTGACGAGGTGTTTTGGAAAGCCCACCCCTCCGCCCTCCCGTTCGTCTCACTTCGCCTACCTCAGCACGCCAGCGAGCTGTGATTTTAATGCAATTAGGCCTGAATCCAGCATGAAGGTAAGATGGCCGCTCGCGCAGACGATAGCCATGCCGCACCCCATCCCCGCAGCCGGCGCTATTTTTAACCTGGGCTGTCAGCGTGAGGCGCCGATCCCAGAAGCCCTTATTACAGGCCCCCTTTGTGAGCAAACGGCACCACTTTCACTGACTCAAATGGGGGGGTATTAAAACAGAAGCGGCCGTCATGCCCCCCCCCCCCCCCCCCACATCTCCAGGTAAACCTCCCCCTGTTCCCTCCAATCGGCATTAGCGGACCTCAGAACGCCAGCACACACGCGCCGGTAATTCAGTAACAAATAGAATTAATAAAAGGAGGACTGGGCTGATTCCTGAGGTTGTTACGGTAACATGAGGTGGCGGGGGGGTGGGGGCTGCAGTACATCTGTGTCTTATTAAATCTCTGACTTTTGGCTGAGCAGGGAGAGAGTCTGTTGCCGTGGATACGGCTCCTCCACCTCGAGGACCGTTGGTGGTCCTCCACACCGGCACCTGCTGGTGTGTCTGAGGGGGATGTGGGGCCTGGCTGCAATCCAGGGCCGTAACTGGAAGCACTGGTGGGGGGTGGGGTGGGGTGGGGTGGGGATCCAGTCAGTGACCAATAGGGACGCATGGTTCACCCGCATCCCACTGGATAATTCTTAAATGTTGTTTAAATATTCTCAGTCCTGTTGTGTACTGGTAGCATGAGTGCATGTTTAGTTTTTTCAAGCCTTAATAAATTGGGAACAAGATGTTTGACAATCCTTCCTGTGATCCAGGATTTAACACATCCATATGTTTTATTTATTTTATATATACAGTGGTACCTCAGAACTCGAACTTAATCCATTCAGAACTACGGATCGAATCCTAAAAAGTTAGAGTTCTGATCGAATTATCCCCATAGGAGATAATGGAAAACCAATTAATTGGTTCCCGGTCCCAAAATATTACACCTAATTTTTTTTTTTTTTAGCATTTAAACACAAAACAAGAGCATATACTGTACTTAACACATCTAAGCACGTTTATCAAAACAGCAATTTGTAAAGTAAGAAAATAAATGTATCCAAACAATGTGTAAAGTTAAAAAAAACAATGTGTCCTGCCCTGATCGTCCACTCCTTCCGTGTGCCACGCCCCCTCGTTAACTCCGTGTGGAATCCCCGTGTGATCAGCTGTTTCTAGTTGTTTTCATTAGCCCTCTGTATTTCGTCCGCGTTTCAGCTTGTTTCCCCAGTCCGGTCATTGTATTGTCCGTCTGCGTTTTGCCTGCCTTACCTGTAATTAAACCCCGTATTCC